GTAAGAAAGAATAATATATATATATATATATATATATATATATATTATGTCCAAAAAGTTGAAGTAAAAGGGAAATACAAGAGATATTAAATGATGTCCTAATATAGGTACACTGGGAGATGGCTTTGAACCAAGACGCTGTCTGTCGTATTATTTAACACATTTTCACTCTTCAACATAATTACTGCGATCTATACAGAAAGTATATGTGGATGCAAGTTTTTGCGCATGTTGACGGCGTCTCATCCGTTGAAGAGGAAAGTAGTTTAAGAGTGTATCCAAGACCAAGATAGAGTCCAGAACAATGCAAAAAGAAAACTGAGCTTATTTGAGAAGAGAAAGCATATCCTTTTTCTGAAAACGCGTTTCAAATTTTGCATTCATCAGTATATTTCTCAGATATATAAACCTTTCCTTGCATAAGCCTCAATTCTCTCGCAACATGCGTATAGTTCTTGCGAGTTATAGAGTTGAATACATATATATTTATATATATGTATTCATGCATACGTATATATTTATCCTATTATTGAATTTCGCTTGCGCAGAGGATTAAAAAGGATCCGAGAGATCGTAAAGAATTGTTCCCTTAATGCATATTTTCTTTGGGATAACATTCTCGATCCTGTGGTTTCAAAACAACCATTGCGATGTGAGACAGATTTTTCACACCCTTTTATGATGTTTGCGCGTTGGAGCGAACGACGATACAAACAAACTTAAAAGGTACAATTAGGTGCCTCGTGAATTTGGTAATTGCACCTTTTTTTGTTGCTTGGTTGCTCGAAGTTACTTTGCTTTTTATTTACCTTTGTGTCGTCAATGCTATAGCTTTTATCCCATATCTCATGAAACCCCATGTAAGCACAGTGCTTTTAAAAATATTATCGAAAGTTTGATGGGTGTGTAAATGGGAGATTCCAATCATTTATTTTGATGTAAAAATGGATCCCAATCCTTAGTTATCATGATACAAGTGGACACCCATCGACTTTGTGTTAAAATCATAAATGAGGAAGCTCTGAGAGTAATGCACCGTACCATCATCACGCTTCGGTGTTGGGATGGCTATCCTAAAGAAAAAACAACAACTCAAAAAGAGGAAAAGAGTTTGTTTTATCAGCAGATAAGCTTTTTTTCTGTTGAGAAAATGAGTACACAAACACAAACGTATCAAGTATTTTATCAGGAGCGTAGTATTTATATTAATAAAGCGTGCTATGAGCTCCATGCACCAATTGTTGATAGAAGAGAAGTGAGACTACTTTTCAGTAGTAACTCTTACCTGAGATGGTATTTTTTTTGATCCTTCATTTTTATACTCGCACTAACGTGAACCTTTCCTGCGATTTGTCTAAGGTGCATTATTCTTAGTTGTTGTTGTCGTTCTGATAGCTCCTTGGGATTTTTTTCACTGTTTTCCATTTACGAGACACGTGTTTTCTCGCTTTTTCCGTTTTCCGGAGCTTATTATGACTGAACTTGTGAAATGCAGCAAGAGTGTTTTTCTTTAATGGTAAAAAAACGTGATTTTTGCCATTTTTCTGTCCTTCAGTTATCATTACCTACGAGTCTTTCTCTATGCATGCCTATTTCAAATTCATTTTTCTTTAGCTTCTTCCCAATTGAACAAGACAGAGGATGCGATACAAGAGTGTTTCAGTGTTTTATGGATGCATTACATTTCTTTTCGGAAATAATTACAATCCTGTAAATCATCTGGCCCTTCTAGCTTTTTCTCTTTGCTTGCTAAAAAATGGATTCAATTTTCATTGTAATTTTCACTTTCATTCGTTAAATTTCTTTTTTTTTCTAATGAGGACTAGATTTTAAGAAGTGATGAATTATCTGTGAACATCTCACATTGATCAAAACTACGTACACAACAACCCTCATTCATCAACAAATCATAATGTCCTGCCCAAGTATTAAAATAACTCAAAAAAGAGTTATTTTTTGCATTGTTACAGCTACTCTAGTAGCTTATTTCATATATATCATGGTGGAAGTCCCCGAATATCGCGTTTTCGCGGGACTGGTTGGAGTATTGTTTTTTTTTTTCTTTTTCTTCCTAAAATGTAGTCTGTGGAGCTACCTGCCTTGCGAACGACGGCTGATTCAGGAAAGAGTGAATGCAGTGCTCGAGAATCAATATCCCAATGAGCATGATATCAAGAGAAGAGTGATAGATGTTTAGCTCCCGCCTGTGGTTAACCTTTTCCCATACCGTGGATTTCAACATGAATTCCCACGAGTATGTGCCTACGACGGGGATTCTTCCGTTACCATTTCCTTTGCATATCTTGGTGTAAAAAGCAACAATTTTTAATTTCTACTGAAAAAGTGTTGCATCTGAAGAGCAAAACCAAGCTAAGATTTTTATCCTTTTTTATTTTGAGTTCACCTTTAATGTATATTCATCACCCTTAATATTTGTTTTTATCTTCATAAAGATCTTTTTAAGTATTCAATTCCATTCGGGAAAAGGGCTCTAGTTTTGATGCCTTACCCATAGAAAGATGACTAATCAAATAAAGCAATAACCATACTATACTGTTGGATGCGTGATGCAAACTTTTTCTCCTTTGTGAGCCCGGAAAAAAATGTGTGACAATGGAATATTACGTAAATTTTATATAATGTATCTCGAGTGTCAGAATCATGCAAGTATTATGTTTCATGAACAAGTACAATTTACTACTTTTACCCTGATTTTCTTTGTTGATTCTTCTTTTCCCCTGATAGACGGATGCAATATTGACCACGCATTGGCGCTGATTGTTAAATAAAAAACACAGAAGAACCGGAATAAATAGAGATTGCATACGTGCATGCGTGATCCTAAAAAAAGGAAAGAAAATATATTCTAGTTTCCTTTCGTATTCATATAATTATATTACGCATTTTCTATCCAAGCAACAATGTGCTGTTCCGGCGTATGTGCTCTCGTAAAATGGTTGTTTTATTATGGCTTGATAATATCATGTATAGGTATTCTTGTATGCTGTGTGATTAAATATGACAAGCTTCGCTACCTTGCCATAATTTTGTTGCTATTGGTTATCTTATTCATAATGAATATCTGGCGTTGTTTCCCATGTGAGCGTCGACTAATTAAACACCGTGCGAGGATAATTTTGGTCAAATCTTCGCCATATCTTGATGAGATCACTGTTTGAGTTCAGGAAAAAAGCCTGGAAAAAGGAGGACACCCCCAATCTTCAGGGAGGCCAAGTCCATCACTTTCTCGGTGGAAGTTAAGTTAAACAATTTGCGTAATTTGAATTCATCATTTTTGTATTCATCCATGTGCATTAACATTAAAGTATTTCTTTAATTTAGGTCAACTTTATCAGTACGTATTCCTTTTCATTGATTCAATATATAAGAAACGGTAACAATGGTTAGCATTTCTTTTTGATAGTCGTCCATATTACTATTCTCTCAAGTTGTAATAGCCAGGTGAATTCAGGTAAATGAGGACCTAGACCACACTGTAAGTTTTTTGTCGATCGACTTTCTACTTTCCTCATCGAAAACATTTCTTCTTTCCTTTTCTTCCCGTTTCTTTTCCTGAAGTTAATTCGGGGTCTTGCACGGCTTCCTCATTTTCAACAGATATTTTTCCCTTCATTCCACTTTCTATTTTAGCCTTTAGCTTTGCAATAAATGTTACTTGCTTCTTTTAATGTACATTCTGTCTAACATGTGTATCCATTTTCATTTTAATGCACTATGCATGTGTTACTACATTTCGTGTGCCTGTATAATGAGAGAAAGAGTGCTTTTACATCATGCTGGATTCTTCTTTTGTTCTTTACTAAACGTTGGAATTTTCAGCTATATATGTGGGTCCACTAAGGTATTTCTTGGATTAAATAGCAAAACTGAAGACAATTTCCTGCAGTTTTGTTGTTGGACACGTTGTACCATTAGAAGTGTAATAATATGGTGCTCAGTACTTATAGACCACTAGGTCTTAAGCTCAAATTTTCGCTATTCTTATTTTTTTCCCATATTGTCTTTCAAGCACATTACCTACGCGTGGTCTTAGGTGAACCAACACGTAGAGTGATTCCTGCTGATACTTTGAACGTGCGAACCAGGGGTCTCGAATTGCCTTGCGGCCAGATGCAGATGAGATTGCAAGGCGCAGAACCGTAAGTTAGTACTAACGTGAAGAATAGTGCGCACAAAACTAATCGCGTTACGAACTCTACGCAGAGTGTTTAGGGAGCAGTGAAAATAAAATATACATTTAATAATTTTCCTTTCTTACTTTTCTTGAGCTACTTGTTTTGCTAGGGAGGTGTATGCGGTCGGCGTTAATGAGTGATTGATCTGAACCTTTTTTGATGAGGCCTTCGCTTGCTTGTGGACGATGTATGCTTTGGAAGAAAGCATTTACCTTTCTGGCTTTCATTTGATTAATTTACCAGAAATACCAATAGTACATTGGTACTGATTTATAAACACATGTGTGCACACACTCAAGCCCACATTTTTGTCAATTTTTCCACATTAAATATTTAGATTTCCCCCCTTTATTAGTTGCCGCTTGGTATGAATACCTTTCCACTATCTCACAGCAACCATTCATTATTGGACACCAAGAGCTATAATCACCATTACTTTACCCATTCTGCCTCTAAGGACGGTGCAGCGCGTCCGATATGCGGGTTTACTCCTAATCGATATCGTGACGCATCGTACCTACCTTCCCGTGACAACTATTCACAGCCCACTTACAACCAGTCCGCGTCTTTTCTTCTCTCAAAGACAGCTTCTACGCAGAGTACCGAACCAACATCGATTCGACCGCAGGGGTCCACAGCACCGTCGTCAGGATTCTCTTACGCACGAGTAAACGGAGGATCCGCGGCGTCATCCCACAGAAAAAGCCCCTGTGCGCGTGATTTCAGGTCAGCATTGTCATCACCTCTGACTGCTGCCTCACCACGATCGAGGTCACACGCAGACTCCCCGACGAATGTATTCGTTCCGCGTATTATTCAGAGTGTGTCCCTTACCAGGAAAAACACAAGCCAATGCGCTTCACAAGGTCGATGTCAACGTAGTCCCAGATCCTTCTCCTTTTCGATGTCTGAAGGGCATGACAGGGACCACCCTTCTTCGGCCTCGCCTATACGTGTGTTGAGCCGATCGTCTCGGCAACTTGGCGATGACGAGCCGAGAAGCTACGACACCTTTGATCCATTGGCCCTTCACCCATCACCACTGCAAACGTCTAGACACCAAGCACCGATTCTCAACAGTGGCGGCCGAAGATCGCAAGGCGGTGGCTCACCACCAAGACGAGCCCCGCCACCTCCACCTTCCTTTTCACTAGAAGAATTCACTCCCAACCGTAAGTCTCAGCGGTCTTCACATGAAGCTGAAAGTACAATATCCTGGTTGCAACTTTCATCTGGAATTGATTCTTTAGGTCATGTGCGGAATCTAGAAAACATAGTGACTTACTTGAAGAACTACTATGCGCAAGAGACTGGGGAAGATAAGTGTGGACTGGAAACACTGCACCCGGATGACATCGTGGCACTAGCGAAATGCTTCTGCACGGATGTGCAGCGTCTAGTGCGGGAACGTAGACAGAAAATGGGCATGAGTGTGGTTTCGTTAGCTGTTGGTGAATCACCGTTAAGTGGAGTAATTTCGAACACTACGTCTAGTGAGAGTAGCATCTCTAACTCTGGAGATAACCTAACCCAAAAAAGTAGTCTTGAGGAGGGAGGGGTGAAAAAAAACACGCCTAATGTCCAACCTCGCCATCGCAGAGGCACCGTCTCCAGTGGTGGAAGCGTTTCCGTTATGGACAAACATACGGAGGCCGAAAAGTCCCATGAGCCTCCTCAAAACCAGAAACACCTAACGTCATTTCAACCACCACCACTGCAGGAGGGGCAATCTCAGGATCATAGACCACCGGGAACACAGATCGTAGAGGCCATCGTGCCGGTCTACGGAACACCTCTTAAGCGAGCTGGCTCCCAGGCCTCTGCGTCTTCTCAACCTCTGCCTCAACGGCGTGTTTCGATAATCACCTCGCATACTGGGGTCTCTCCAGGTGCTTCGCATCTTCATGAAGACACCTCCCTCAGCAGTGTTCCCACCTGGCGGGGCATGGGTGTTTCCCCCGCGGACGCGCGTGCGAAGGCACCCGTCATGCCATCTGTGAACCCCCAGGTTTATGTGGCCGCCCATGCCTCGTCTTCAGCCCCTCTAGGGGTCCCGCTGTCCCGGCCTGGGCTGGCCTCCGTGGGCCGTCCTCCCCCCCCACCAGCCCGGGAGGGGGAGCCGAACAGCGGCAGGTCCGCCAAGTCTCCCGAGGCCGAGGCCCGAGACGACGCCGGCACAGCCGCGCACCTACCTAAGAAGCAACGGGCCTTCCATGGAGAAGGTCTTCGAGGATCACTGAACATTTTGATGAAGGTTTTGCGTCAAGGGACATACTTGGTGAAGTATTTTTCCTCGTTTCGAACGCCACACATTCGCTTTTTTTGTGTTCAAGACTGCATGACGAAATATAATGGCAGAGAGGTGCGCATGCCTCATCTTGTGTGGAGGCCTAAGGCGAAAGACCATTGGTCTGTTGAACATTTTAGGGAGGATGGCAGCAAGTCCAATGCCTTGAATTTGATTCACCTCCATACGGCGCGCCTTGGCGTCGACCTCGCACCAGAACTTTTCAAGCGAAGAGGCGGATATGTCATTGACCACTGTGGGCGACCGCTTCCCGCAGACATGTGTTTGGTTCTCATATTCCACTCGCGAACCTTAGGGCTTAGCTTCCTGACCAAAGCTGATCGGCAGTTGTGGATGGACGCATTCACGGCCATTATTGATCGTAATCGCTCTCTCCATCACTAGAAACTATGTCTTAAATGCGGAAAAATGTTTTTTTTTGCTCATGTGCATTTTTTGTTTGAATTTATTTTACTGATATTCACGTGTCACAGATTTACTATGCATTGAGGCTTTTCTTTTAACCCAAGAGTGGATCTGATGAGGAGATCACTTTGCTTTCTTGTGATTCGGATATTGCTCTGTTTTCAGAGGAGGGGCGCGCGCTTGGCTCTATAAACAATATTATTTGCATAATAGAATACACATTTTGTCGTTCAGCCGTGAAGACGTCTGTTAAAGTGGCTTGCCTCTATGGGGGGGGGGGGGGGGGGGGAGCTACGCCTGGGGGAATGAACGTATGACAAGGACTAACTCAGAATCCACATTTTTTGTTCATTACATGATGTATGTGTGGGAGACACCATAGTGCACATTCCCCCCTAGAAAATTTAGGCGGTTGCGACTGCCCCCCCCTCCCATTCTTGGGACCTCTAGATCGTGCTAAGGTGTTTACATAACGGCTGACAGGTTCATGTACATTTACTTGCAAACTCAGATCTAGAAATAATATGAAAGCATAATGTGTCTGTTCGTTTTTTTTATCATTAAAAACCTGTGTCTTGTTACCTTATTTTTGATTGAATGCTTTAAATATACATTTTATGCGCATTTTTTCTGCGTTTTTATTTCTGAGAGGTTTTAGGTTTAGTCAATAACGTAAGGTTAATTTTTTTCTAGCATATTTATATTTACATTTATTCCATTTGTTATTTTTTCCCTTTTACCTACGCGTTTGATTTGTTTTTAAATTTCACCATTCTATTTCAATTTGTATCCTGATACTTTAATTTACGAAGTTTAGCCCAGCAAGGTTGATCAATGGAGTCGAATTTGGAATCAACGGACAACTCCAAAAGCACCATGCAAAATGAAATTTCGGATAGTAACGGCCATGTCGAAGACTTCATCCTTCCTCATGTAGTTATGTTGAAGGGGAGTGACGGGCAAATTACTAACAAGACCAACAGTTTTGGCAATAGGCAAGCTCACACACCTCAACAGCAGGGAAGGAGTGTGCCTGCGGAGAGCTGCAATACAATGGGCAGCACTAGTGCTACCCAAGAAAGCCCCGAAAAAGGTAAACCAATCACAGACTTAAAGTTTAGCAGCGTTCCTATGTTGGATGACCACCCAACTCACTCCGTTACTGATCATCTTCGCGAGTTTTCGTGTGAACCAGACATGGCAGGCAGCAGCAAATCGGCAAAAGAACCGAAACATGAAATAGAGGAGTCCAGCTTGAGGCAAGAGGGAAAAGATGTTTTGGATGTCTTGGGTAATTACACACCAAACTCTTTTCAGCACTCACAGCGTAAGGCAAACAAATCCGCAAGACCTGTATCCAGAAAGGCATCCGAAACGAAAAAGGACAGCAAGTGTCCCAAAAAAGTTGTTGCAACTCTAAATACAAAACATAAGAATAACGATAATGGCGTGGCTTCAAAGAAAAGCGATCCTGTCTCTTCGAAGCGGCCGCGACAGAACCTTGTGAATTTTAAAACTCCCGAAGTCGCAACTTCCGGCTTGTCGAGGCTGGAGGTTCCATTAGTCCCTCCAAAAGGTCCTGAAGCCGGAGGGAAGCAAACCCCAAGGTATCTCCACAGACCGTTAGCGTCGTTTTCAGATTTTAGAGCGGCCCTTCTCGGAAACTCCATTCTTGCTTCCAGTTGCGATCCAACCGGTTACTCCTTACGCTCTGAGGAGGGTGTTTCTGTGCCCCCGACGTCATCGCCAAGTGGCGCCCAGGAGTGCCGAAATGAGGATGTATTGCTCGTGCCCTCGCTTACAACGACGGTTTCAGCCATCTTGGCAGAGGGAGTTAAGCACAAGCACTCCATACCTCGGCACAATCAGGGTCTGTCGTTATCGGGGACATCCGCTATTTGTCTTTGCGATTCGCAGGGGCAGGGCTCCGGGCCCACAACCGACTCTAGTAGCTCTTGTATATCACAATCACATACTAATGGAAGGCCACCCACTGGGCTGGCGGCCTCAGCTAACCCTCATGTAGCCGATGCCCCGCAGGTGGCGATGGGTACATCGCATGGTGTATCGTCGGTTCGCGATCTTCCCCCAATACCAAACCATTGTCTCAGAGGTAAGCACAGCTCTTTGGGGGAGGCTAAGAATGATGAATGCGCCTTCCATATTGATGGAATCGATGGCGTTACGTACCCCAGCATGCTTCCATTTATTCGCTTTGCACAGACTTGGGTGATTTCAAGTAGACCCCTGTCGGACCACCCCGGCGTGGTTGCTGCACAACCCCAGCAGTATGAGCTTCAACCGTGTAGTCCCCCCACGGCGGGGCTCGTGGAGGGCAAGGGGGTACTTCCTCTTCTCTCGCCAAAAGACGTCCAGGGGATGGGTGGTGGTGATGCGAGCTCTTCCAGTGGGGCCAACAGCGTTAATAAGCGGGGTCATGCGTTACATGACGTCATGCATTCGGACCCCTCTTCCGGGGTGATGAGGATGGGCAGTGGGGCTGCCACGGTGCCAAGGCCTATCCAGTTCACACTCCTTACGGATCGCGTTGATACGTTGCTTCCGGCGTGGTGCTTCTTGACTTCTTATCTTCTTGCTCCCACAGGGGATGTCGAGCGAGCACATGTTGAGCATCCACCGTTGTCACATTCACACTTGATTCTGGAGAAAGAGGATGACAAGGAGGGATCCCCCACATGGAACCCTTCTTCTCTTTCTGAAAGAACTACCCATTTGCCGTTGAAGCGATGCTTTTCTATCTATCCGTTAGCTTTCCCTCAATTGACACCTTCTGGGGTGGGCGAGGGCGGCGTTAGCAAGACATCGAGCCCTACTTTGACCTGTTGTGACCGAATTATCGATACAAATTCGACATACTCCTCCCACCCCTTGAAAGTAGAATGTGGTGAAAAAGAGAAGTATATTTATTACCAGGTGCGAGTGAGGATCTGCTTGAACGTCGAGGATCACGCCTCTCTTGATAATTCCGAGGTTCATTTCCCCACGCCGCGTGATACTAAGGTTGATATGATGACCGTGAGCGAGTCCACTGACCACTGTACATCCGACACTACCACCAATAACCACCTACCGATGCTCTGCCCCATCGATGCGGAACTACGTTTTTCCCGCTACCAGCACAATCAGGAAGCTCTCCAGCTGTTCGCCCAGAGTAAGACTCTTTCTGTGTTGTATCTTCGAGCCCAGCTGAATGATGCCGCGCTTCAGCTGATTGCTCATGCACCGACGGCATCGGAGTGTATGATGATCACTTCACAGAAAGAGATAATAAGTTCTATGAGCGGGAAAGATTTCACGTCATGTCAGACCGACCTCGGTGAAGCAGCAAGCGTACAGCATAACACTTCACGAGAAAATATTTTTGAAACACCGTGTGAGAGTCGTGTTAATGTCGAAGTGAACCCGGCCTCCTTTTTCCACCCCATGCCTCCTGACCTACAGAGAGAGGAAGGTGAAATCGTTATCAAGCCCATCGGTTTGAGAGTTGAATCGGATGTTCTGTCGAGGGAAGCGGGCTTAACCCCTTTGTCAGCTCTCACCATTACATTCACTTTAACCGCGTGCACCACGGCATCCGTGATGGTCGAGGGCTGCTGTGAGGGCCCCAACGCAGCAGAGAATCATGGAAAGGAGGAGCATGGAATCTGCATATCAAAGTCGCGTTTGGTGTATCGCACCCTTGTGAGTGTCTTTCCCGAGGCCTTTATTCTCTCGCCTCACACTTCGAGGGTTGAGTTTGGAATGTGTAGTGTTTGCAAGCCAACGCTGTCCATGCCGAATGGTAGCGTTGTGGCCAGTGAAGGCGACGTGGACTTTCCTTCTCTACGGGTTAAGGAATGGAAGGATCTTTCGTTCGAGGAGCTGCGCCTGCACTGCGTCCTGCGTACTAACCAAATTTCTCTCGATGTTACTCATCCTCATTCGGAGTTCACAGAGGCATCAACCATTGAGTCAGCTTGCAATTTGCACGAAAGTAGTGACACGGAAAAAGTTGAGGAAAACCATCAGATGGATGTCTTGGAGCCCCACGGGGAGGTGGTTGTGGATACGGAAGGCATTAAGGAGGAGGAAAATCAAGTCGACGCAAACCATTCCCCCGAAACGAATGAAAACCCCACGCCGGAGGTGATACTAGCTGAGGAAAAATGTGACATCTGCCCGGATCTGTCTAGCTGTAACACCGAGCCTGAGGGAAATAATTTTTCATGCGAGTATCAAAAATATAATGAGGTTAATAACACCAGTAGAGGTCATGAAGTTAATAGTCCCCAGGATGCTGCTCTCGAGATATTTGTGCAGGAAAAGAGTATGGAAGCGGAGTCTAAAGAGGAGCAAATGGAATGGGATGTGCGAGATATGACGGCTGAACTCACAGAGAAAACACAGGAGGTCTGTCGCGAAGCGGAACAGATTGACTTTCTGATTAAAAATTACCACAAGCTATATGGGATCCCTGAGCAGCTGTCGGATAAAATGAACTTAATGTTTGATACACCTCGAGTGCCTCGGCTAGGCCATGCACGACGTACCGATCCCAGCCTTACTTCGAGTACGAGACGTGGCAAAAAGTCCTTGGTAGATACTGAGGCAGCGAAGAGGGAGGCTGAGTTTATTTCTGCGCTCGTAAACTCCTTTATTGCACCGCATGTGGCCTTATTCACCGCAAAAAGCATCGAAGAGGAAGGGAAGAGCACCTGTGAGGATCCTGATAGAGAGCCACACACGTTCTTTTCCGAACGTTACGGAGGGAACTTGAGCTCGCTAATCACTGTGGTGAACACCATAATGTGGGAAAACGTGACGAAATCAGTGAAGAACACGATCGAAGGGTTCGACGACAGAGATAAGACAGCGTTGCTTGAATCCCTTTTTACATCTTTATGTTTTTCATCATCTTCTGAGACTTCATTCACTACGAGTTGGGCCTCGCATCACGGAGAACCACTTCTGCGAGGACTTAGGAGGGATCTGTTTAGCTTAACAGATCATCCGATTTTACATTCGGCTTCTCTCGTTGATTATCCAACGTTTACCTCTTTTTCAGGAGCTACCGGTGATGTGCGTTTGTCTGAGGGGGGAGTTACCTCTGTCGCCAGCGCCGGAGCACTGCCACCACGAGTAGCAGTGGTAGGGGAGCAAGTCTTGGGCGCTAAGTTGTGTAAAACTGGACGGAAAAGTAAGTCTCATACCAGCCGAGCAGGGTTTGCTTCTACGAATGATTCTCGTACACAAAAGCCTGAGGAGCTGCTCTTATTACCGGCGCTTCGTGTTGTAGCGACTGCCGCTGCCGGGGTTTCGGGCTTTTCGTCGTCCGCCCACTCACGACTTTCCTCACAGAGTCTGGAGAGGGAATCGGGGTTACCCAGCACGGACAACATTCCGCTCGTGGGTACCTTCCGTATTATTTTTAAGTTCCCCAGGGCTCTTTCAAAGGCCAAAACCAAACTTCATGAGGCGGAAAAAAGTCTTGAGCGCTGGTTAGCCGCCCTGCGTGACGTGCATGCGAGTTTACAGTGGAACACGGTAACATTGCTGGAGGGGTCGGTTCTGCCCTTTTTAAGTGAGCACATGTTAATTATGTGGGATGGGTGGAAAGGGCTGTGTGATCTCCACACACGTTGCATCGGTACTCATACCATACTTAATCCGAATACAGGTAATACGGATATTTTTGTTTCCGACATGTCGTGTATCACAGATCTGGGAGCATTGACAAAATCCATAGATGCGTCAGAATTTAGCTCAAATAGTTCAAAAAATGTAGCAGATGAGTTCTTATCCTCTTCTCACGCTGTGGAGCATTTTGAGATGGAATGCTTGCACTCCGAGAGGAAGCCATTAGGCACAAGTTTAGATCCGGAAAGTAGAAGCGTATCCCGAGAATCCTTAGCCTTGTTGACGGCTTCTCAGAAAATGTCTGCTAAGCAGAGGAAAAAGAGCATGGAGACCCATAAGCAGACTTCGAATCGACATTTAGACAATAATGAAAAGACACAAAAAAATACCAGTGTGGGCGAGGACGATGGGGTTTGTCCTCCCGTGCAGGAGCGGGGTTGCCTTCTCAACGAGGCACCCGTATTAAAGGCGTTTGATTCCTCAGAAAAGGGTCCAATTAACGCGGCAAATGTAAAGAACACGATCTCTAAAATGACGCTGCGGAAGCAAGGAATCCGTAAAACTTCCAAAAATTATAAAGAGGCTGATGTTACCACTAGGCTTGTTCTACCATTTATTATGATTGGCGCGCTGCTTATGTTACTACTTGTGTACATCTAATTCATCGAGGGAGTGGAAGGTAAATGAGAAAGTGGAGATGCACCTAGATCTGACAAAAATGTCGCTCTATGAGGTAGCTATAAAATGTAAAAAAGAAGAATGCTACAGAGAGGAGTGGTATCTTGATAAACTTTTGTTCGTTCGTTTAGTTACAAGCATTTGATCGTTCCAAGAATGAGCGAGATAAATTGATAAACATAACTGATCACTACTTCGCCTCTATGCATCAGTAATAATAAGCAAATATACTGTGAGGTTTCTTTTTTTTTGTTCGAGTTTCTGTGTCCTGGAATCATTATGGTGTTTTTTTTAGGGTGGATTATGTAGGAAAATAAGCTAATGTTGTGAAATTTATTTTTACGTATATCAAAAAAATATAGTAAGAAAAACATCTCGAATGCACCTCATTAAGACAACTGGGAGCAAGGACCAGAACAATGACCCATATAGTCGTCAAAAAATGTACGTTTGCACATCTCAAGATGCCTCACAAGTTGTGAGCTGTGTGGTTGCGTAAATGATGACAGGCGCTCTACATAGCATTGATAATAGAAAATAATTGGATTAGTCCCGTTCGTTAAATTTTATAATTTTTGCATTAACGTAGTTTTGAGTGTCTACGAATAAATCTAAGGATGACATACATGCTTTAAACAATTTTTTATGCTCCTTTATCCTCTCTTGTTGTTTGTTCAGATTGATGTGGTACAAGTGGGATGTGTACCGTGAGAGACGTGGCTTTCCGCTTGCTTTAGCGAAGCTACATGGCTGGCAATTTTTACTGTGTTTTTGTTTCGTAAGTTTGATCTTTTCCTGCTATTTTGCTTTATTCACCCTTTACGTGTTTATTTGTTTAGGAGAATAGTATAGATTTGCTTTTATATTTATTCAGTGATACATTGATTCAATTCTAAGTAAGTATGTAGGGGCTTGCTCTTATTCTTTTTTTCCAGTTGTGATTTTTTTTTTTGCTCTACGCCATTGTACCAAGCTTCACGACAACGAAAGGAACTATTTGCACAAATTTATTATTTCGATTTATGGGTGAAAAGTGTAAAAGGGGTCCCGTGCGATACTGTTTATTCGTTTAATTTTTTTACTTTTTATGTGACTCTTGACCAATTACTCAGCTACTTAACTTATTATTTGCACATCTTGTCATTTAGGCTATATCTACTCTTCCATTATGATGCTTTTCTAAACTCTACCTTTGTTTTATATATGTCTTTTCTTTACTATCTTCCCCTTTTGAAGCCTTTTTGAGCAGTATAGGGATTTTAGTGCACAAAATCAAGGTGGGTTTACTCATATTATACGGACCCCTGTTGACATTTTAATAGTATTCATATCATCACTGTAATTTTTTTTCATTCAATCCTTTCCACAGTTCCATTCAGCGAAAGTACACACTAATGGGGTCATCGAAGGTACGCAAGGAAGAGGCGGAGCTGCGCCAGATCGCCAAGCGCGCGCGCACAGCTCGAAAAGAAGAGAAGAAGCGTATTGCCGCACAGAAACGTCGAGAAGGACGACAAAAAACTATGGAGGAGGCTCAAGAAAAGGACTGTCAGAACGCCCTGAGCTCTATCCGTTTGAAGCTTCGTCGTAACGCAGTGGTAATGGCGCAGAAGGATGTCGAAAAGCTGCACCGAAAGCTGCACCTGTCAACTTCAGGTGATTCGAAACCCGAGGAAGGACTCGTCGAGTCCGAATCATCCTCTAATGGAAGGAAGCTGAAGAAGAGCTCGTCTGTGGATCCGAAGAATTCAGCCGATGAGTCATCGAGCCTAGCGTCTCCAACGGAGTCAATATTGGAGCCGAATTATCGCGTTGAGATTCACTACAAACACAAGGAGGTGCTTGTTGATGTTGTGCTGCACCACATTCCACATCAGAAAATCAATATCAAGGAGACGACACCGACGCAGCTCGTGGTGGACACTACCCAACACACGAAAAAGTACAGGCTGGTTCTTCCAATGCCCAGTGGTCTTCGAGTGAACTCCAAGAAGGCCACGTATGAACTGATGAATGGCGTGTTGCACTGCCGGCTGCCGATTCTCAACGAGGAAATCCCAGCAGAATTACAAAAAGAATGGGATGCGCTACGGGAGAAAATTCGAGCACAACGAGCTCTGCGGTTCCGCGTCGATAAGACCGGCGATTTGGTAGTTCGAGTACGGAAGACACTGCTGGCCAAAAGCCCCGCTGAACAGGCGCGGCTTCAAGCTGCACGTACCGATAAACGACCAAGGGAAGAAGCTCACAGCAAAGACGGTCTGCGGAATGTGGATGAGACGTGTAGTGGAAACGCTGTTCCTGAGGCTGCCACCACGGTGATACCCTCTCTCAAAAGGAAAGGTGGCGAGTTGAAGTCGAACTCGTCGAGTTCTAGTGGCAACGATAATGCGATGAAAACTGAGATAAACTTTGATAAAAACGCTAAAGAGGGTCCTACGTTGCGAAAGAAATCTCCCGCGACCGACGCTGGCAAGTCAGCGAAGCTGACCAATACCAAGGACAAGAAAGCTGACGTCAAAAATCTAACCACCAGTAATACTACTACTACTAATAAAAATAGAAATGGTAATAGTAATAGGGATGTCTTTGCTGAGGAACATTCCAAGGCACTGTCCATTGCTAAGGCTGTCGCCGCAGGCGTCCGCCATTCGATCAGGGAAAAGGTGCAGCTCGCTAAGGAGGTTCAACGGAAGCGGCTTGAGCGGGTGAATGTACGGAGTGAGCGCCAAGAGCAGAGACGTCTCCGTGAGGCGGAGTCATTCAAACGAGTTCTCGAGGAGCAAAAGCGTCAGCTTCTTGCACGCGCCACTTTGAAGGCCTCCGCCGAGGAGGCTGCTAAAAGGAAGGAACAAGATCGTAAGAGCAAGCAAGGGCCTGCGAAGTCCGTCTCATTTAAAGATTAAAATATCATCTTCAACCCATTGACTTTCATTCATTTTAAATCTTTATTTAACTCTTTATTCATGCTTGTATTCGAGAACTTTCAGAGCCCTTCTTGATGAGTGAAGTTAAAATGATTAACTTTTGACACGTGTAATCCCTAACCATCCCAATTTAAATCTCGGGATCTGAATGTCATGGATCAAATCGTCCATTTTAAGCAAAGAATGCATTCTGTGCGACGCTGGCACATCTTTTCCATTACCCCACTTTCCTAACCTGGTGCTTGTACAACTTAACTTTTATTCATGTTCATATTTCATTTATTCACACATAAAAGGACCATATGCTACGTATTATGCGTAGATATATACAATTTTTATAAGTAATTCTAAGGGAATAGACAACAAGCGTGAGGACGAGGGAAAAAAGAACCAAACATATCACTAAAAGCACTAAAGTTACGTGCGCAGAGAGAGGATGCCCGCTAAACGATTTAGGCATATTGTGGACGGCCCTCGGCAGGCTTCTGTAGCAAGCATGGACCTCATCAAAGATTCTGCACCGCTGATGAGGGCAGGCCCATTAGATCCCATTATGGGTGGTTTGGTTTCTGCAGCTTCTGCGGAGGTGTCGGTTGGAGAGCCGGCGCTAAAGCGTTTCGTCATCCCTCAAGCTGTTCTTCAGCGCATCACATCCCCTCGCCAGTCTCACCCTTCGGACGACAAGGGCGCGCCACCTGCTAACTATGGACGCGAGGAGTTGAAGAAGACTACCGATGAAGGGGGAGGGGACTCCCAGAAGGGTTTGAAAGCTAACCTGAAAGGCGGTAAACCAAGTCGTGGAAAGGTGAATTCAGAAGCACCCCCTCCTAAGCGTCGTCGCGACCACACCAGTGAAACAGAACCACTAAGTCACTCACTGCCAAAGGATGTAGAGGAATATTTACTCGAGCAGCAGCGGCATCAAGAAGGGAACGGTCTTGGTAAAAGTGGAAAGCAGTACAAAGGGGATGCGCCGCCGAAAACCTCTTTCCGTAACCGACGACAGGGTGCACACGACCGTGCGTTAGATAAGCTGGCTACTACATCTGTGCTAAATGCGTCGGAACCCCACGGTAGCTCATACCACATAGATTCTGAACGTGAATTGCCATTCTTTTCCAATGCACACGACGACATTATTCACTTTTCCAAAGACAAGCGTGCTACGGACCTTTCCTCAGACGAGGCCTCCGATTGGCGTGGCCTAAATTCCAGCCCTCACACCTCGTCCGCTGCGAATTCGGAGACCTCATCAATCGCGTTGTCGGATCGTAGCGGTGGGGTAGCTAGTGGCGAGCGAGATGGAAGCGAGCGATCTTCAGATCGTAAAGGGAGTCGCGCGCGAAAGGTGCGGGATTCCGTGGAGCGTCATATGTTCGATTTTGACATGGACGCACTTCGGGTCGAAGAGGCGCGTCTCCGCTCGCCTTCCTCCTCCGCGGGGAGCACGGACGACGACAGCCTGAGCGGCCCGAGCGAGGCGGCCGAGGACGACACCTCATCCACCGATTCCTCCCCCATCTCCCTCGACGCCGAGGGGGAGGAAAGAGATGAGGAAATGGGAGAGGAAGGGACTACCGCGCGTGCGAAGCCCCTTGGCGGGTTTGGCATCTTCGCGCGCGCCCCTCACGGCGACCCCGTCGGGCGACGACGCGAGGCGGGGGCGGTATCCTCGTCCTCCGCCTCCCCGCCGTCTCCGCCGTCCCCGCCGTCCTCGCCGTGCGCGCGGCGTCGTCGTTTTGGTCGGACGCACTACGAAACGCACATCAACGTGGGCGCCGCGCGGCCCTGCCACCACACCCTCCTCGGCCTGCAGGGCGCGATCACCGTGGAGGGCCCGTGCGTCGTGATCGGCCTCGGCGTCGGGGAGGCCTGCCTGAACGGGTTTTACCTCCGACGGCGGCGACGGGTGTTGTGGGGGCGTGGCGAGCGCGCCGTGTTGATGCCGGTGCGGCGTGTTAAAGGCGAGGCCGTGGCGGTCGACGAGCCCGCGCTGCGGCGGGAGCTCCAGGAAGGGATGAAAGCGGAGGACGGAGGGGGGGTTTGGGTGAACCCCACCCCTAAAGGGGGTCTGACGGCCCCCTTCCACCTTCCCCCCGCCGCGCCAACCGCGGCGGACGACGCGGACGACGCCGACGCCGACGTGGCTGCGGACGGGGGCGTCGCGGGGGTGTTTGGCACGATCGACTGGGCGTGGGTCCGTGCCGGCCTGCGGGGTTGG